ATTCTGAGTAAAACCAAAGTTACTTTCCCTAGTAACTAGTTACTTTGAAAGTAACGAGTAACTTGAAGTAACTGAGTTACTTTTGATAGAAGTAACTAGTAATTTAACTAAGTTACTATTTTAAAGTAACTTACCCAACACTGGTCATGATTGAAGTTACTGTTGTCTTTCTATCAGCACAAAGCAATCTGGCCATTTTTACACCAGAGAACTGCTGCTTACTTGATATTTTCTCTTTTCAGGACCATTCCCTATAAACTCTACAGATGATTGTTTGGAAAAACCCGAGAAGCAGATTCTGAAATATTCAGACCGGTGTAACTGGCACCAACAGCCATGCCATGTTCAAAGTCACTTCCAGTTGTGGTCATGCACTGATTATGGCCATGAATGTACGGAAGAGGATTAGGCCCACCAGAGGGAAAAAAAAGTGGGCATGTCTTTTTTTCTTCTTTTCCAGAATTCTGAGAAAAAAGGTCGGAATTCTGACTTTAATCTCAGAATTCTGAGTTTTTTCTCAGAATTCTGACTTTTTTCTCTGAAGAGATAGTAGAAATCTCTTCTAGAAAAACACTGACAAAATAAGAAAGCCAAAACACATGCAACTGCTTTTGGTTTTTGAAGAACTCACTCAGTAGCACTTTTGGCACAGTTTGTATTGCCACATCTCTGGTATTTCCAGTAACTTCAGATCTCGACATATCAAGAGGATCTTCTCTGTTTTGTTCTTTCTCATTTCCACAGTGAGTTAAATGGCCGTCTTCTCTGTCCTCCATCCCTGCATCTTTGCAAAAGTCAACATGTCAATTAATCAAATATATGAAAAAAATGCACAGTGGCTATTAAATATTTATTTAATGTTAAACTCTCTTAATACCAGAGTTTAAGACACTGGATTCAGTTTTATTCACTATTTCCAAAGATGTGGAAGCTTCCTGTTCTTTTCTTTCACTGCTTTGTGGTAACTGGTCTTCACTGCCTTCCCCATTACTCCCATTGATGGATAGGTCATGTATGTGTGAGGGAGCAATGAGTGTCGCTGCCGCAGTGGGTGTGTTAACTTTTGCTGAGCTGCTGCACTCTCCTGGACGGGCAATCCACTTGGAGTGACAAGCACCTGTTCCCTGAGGCAAAATTAAACATTTAAATTAGATTTACATTTACAACAACAGATATTCATTTTTAAATTACACAGGTCTACGACCAAAAAACTGCATAAGATTTTTTGACTGTGTCTTATAGATTTACATTTATATATATATATATATATATATATATAGATAGATAGATATATAGATATAGATATATATAGATAGATAGATAGATATACTTTTCTGTCACGTTAATCGTGATAATCCACATTAACACTGACATAAAATTTCCAAGTTTCAGCAATTAATGCATTATTTTTTATAGTTGTATTGGTGATATCAAGTTTAAATTTCAGGCAAAAAGGAAATGAAACTTTGATGGAATTAAAATAGTTACTAGTAGAGTAACCAGTGATTTGTAGTATTACATTTTACATTGAAATTCTGACCTGACGATATGGCCTGATTAAAAAATAAGGGTAATCTTATGTCATTAACATTCACATGAGGACCAAAAATACCAGACAGTAAAGTGTATTAAAATAAAATAAAATAAAATAAAGATATATATATTTACCTGTCTTCCATCAAAACATCTCTTGAGAATAATTCTCAGTTCTTTCCCCCTGAATAGATGTTTCGTTGCTGTTGAAATTGTATGTTTTGTTGTCCTCTCTGAAAAAAGAAGAGTGATTTTCATACACAGACACTTTTTGTTAGGATAGTTACATGCCAATAGTAAATAACATCATTTAATTAATAACACTCTTGTCAGTATGTTTAGGGGCAACAGCAGACACAGTCTCATCTTCTATTTCTCCCTCTGCCTGTTTCTCTTCATCTTCTTCACTGCCAACATTTTCAGCTTCTACTCTCTCTGCTCTGTTTCCACGAGCATTTCCTCACTGTTTGAAAGCTGGTCTTTACCTTCAGCATTATCATCTTCAGTTTCTTCAGAGCCGGATGATTGTATTTCCTTTTGATTCAAGGTTCAAGAAAAATGACCTTTAATTATCATTCTCAGTGTTGTTTTAATTCATTTTTGAAAATCAGAATTACAGTACTCTCATGCTCAGTTACCTTTCTAGTCTTGGATCTTCCTTTTCTGTATCCCTCGGTTTTTAGGTAACCTTTCTGTGAAAAGTTAGTTTGACAGTTTATTTAGTGAAATCTGATTTTCTTTGATTAATAGAAATGGGAAAAAAAAGTACCTTAATCCAATACTCCAGAGGTTGATCATCATAGAAAATAGTTGCTTTCCATTTTTTACACGATCCTTTCTCTGCAAGTATCTCAAATCTAGGGGGCTTATACCATTTGCCTTCATACTTAATACACGCCTCACCTAAATTGATCATCCAAACACACATGAAAATTGAAATGACAGTAGAAAAGAACACTTAACTTTTGACAAGTTAACATTTGATCCTCTTTAAAACAGTGCACATTGTTTAAAATTGTATATTTGAACCACAAAAGGAAAATGCTTTCTCTTTATTTTTTTCTTAATTCTTAAAGATGTTCAAAACATTCGCACCTGATCTGCAATCCAATCCAAGGTTTAGAAATTTTTTTTTTAATGTAGGTTTGTATTTACTTTTCTCAAATGATTGATGGAGAGCAATAATGTTTCCCAGCTTTCATGAGATGGGGGGAAGGCAATTCAGAATCACCAATGCATAATCTATCATGCATTCATTCAGCTGGAGAGAAACTGATGACTACAGATCATTGAAGTCAAGTTCCATTTTTTTATATACATGATTTTTATTTGTGGGCACAGTTTCAACGAGTATAAAGTGTTTTCTTGTTTAACGGTTTCCATGAAATGTGCTTATGCTTCTCAGATGATTGTATTTGCTTACTTTGTTCCAGATTCTCACAATCAAGGATGCCCTCTGTGGTTCCACAGATTACAGGCAAAAACTCTAAATTACAACAACAACAACAATAATAATTTCCCTATAATAAAATAATATGAATGTATTTTCATGCCATAAAATTAGAGAAACATATTCAAAAATCTAAAAAGATATTCAGTGTTGGGTGACTAAGGACTTACGTTTTCCTTCTGTCTTCCAGGTTTTATGATCCTCCTCCTCCTTCTCGTCTTCATCATCAGAAGGTTCATTATATTCAGCCTTCCATCTTTTCCTTAATCTACAGTCTTCTTGGTCTTCCTCTTCCACATATCTTTTCCTCTCCATTTATTTTTCAAAACTGAAAATATACTCTTCCTAAACAGATTTCAGGGTAATCATTGATTTGTGTCAAAAGGTCTTTCCACCCCAAACAACATTTCTGAGCGAGATGATCATAAAAAGAAATAGCACAACTGAATGTTGAATTCTTTGTTCGTCTTTTGTTGTGGGAGAGAAGAAAAATGTTTGCTGACCACCGCACAGATCTCGAGTTCAGCTCATACCGATACTAATACTTTGGTCCTGAAAACAGTTCTCAGTATTAACATTTTGAGGTTTTGTCATTGTGGACGAAGTTTTCATGTCTTGTTTTATTTCAGTTTAGCCTTCATTTGACAAAACTCATTGTAACTTTCAAATCAGTCAATTAATCAGATAGATGTCAGATAGATATGTCTTCTGTTTTTCAAAAAGATGCACAACACCATTGACTTTTTAAAATATTTTGTAAATTTTATATATATTAAAATGTAATCTTACATTACTTTTTAACATATCTGACTATATTTGAATTCCTTAGTACAATATAATTGTGAATTAACTTAAAGAACACATCAGCTTGGATTAGCTGCTTTTTCAGTTGTTTTCAGTGCCATCCTTGTGCCTGAATATTTCAGAGGAATGTTTTTTTTTAAATTGTTAGGCCCCTTAACACTGACCTATGAATCATTCAAGCATTAAAAACACCTAACCTAACTCGAGGGACTTATATATACAGTGTTGTCTAAATAACACTGTATATATAATAGTGATGGGATTTCCTGCTCTTTTTAGAGAACCGGCTCTTTTGGTTCGGCTCACTAAAAAGAGCCGGCTCTTTCGGCTCCGAACCGGCTCTTCAGGTTGTTTTGTTGCATTAATTAATTTATTATTAACAATAATGTAAAATTATGCACAAAAGGAATTACTAACGTAAAAAAAAGTGGTTTTAATTATACATGTTTATATATAAATATATGCGGTGGCGCCTAGAGACAAAACACGTACAAACTCCAAAACACATTTGTAGCATGAACTGAACTTCCAAAACAGTGCTACTAGATCACTTAAATTACACAATTGAAAGCATG